TCTTTTCTTTTCTTTTCTTTTCTTTTCTTTTCTTTTCTTTTCTTTTCATTTCTTAAAAATTTTTCTTTAACATTTATTCGTTTTTGAGAGTGAGAGAGACAGAGCATGAGCAGGGGAGGGGCAGAGAGAGAGAGGGAGACACAGAATCTGAAGCAGGCTCCAGGCTCTGAGCTGTCAGCACAGGGCCCAACATGGGGCTTGAACTCACAGACTGCGAGATCATGACCTGAGCTGAAGTTGGACATTTAACCGACTGAGCCACCCAGGTGCCCATTTTCTTTTCTTTTCATTTCTTTTCTTTTCTTTTTTCTTTTTGTTTCTTTTCCTCTCTTCTTCAAAAGGGTTGAAAATTCTTTTCTTTTTCCTTTTCTTTTCATTTCTTTTCATTTCTTTTCTTCCCTTTTTCTTTTCTTTTCAAAGAAAAGAACTGATTTCCCAGAAGGGTACCAAGACAAGTCAACGGGGAAGAGAACACTCTTTACAACAAATGCCACATGCACAAGGATATATTTGGACACTTACCTCACACCATACACAAAACTTAATTTAGAATGCTTCAAGGCCTAAATGTATGAACTAAAATCATAAAACTCTTAGAAGAAACCATATGAGTAAATCATAGTACCCTTGGTTGGGCAATGATTTCTTAGATACAATATTAAAAGCATAAGAGATCAAAGAAAAACACGGATAAACTGGACTTCATTACTCCCTCTAGTGGATCTAAAATATAGCCTTACTCATAACTATTTCATCTTTTTTTTTTTTTTTTGAAACAACAGTAAAAGAAATTTGTATAGCAATCACTGACCAGTGGTCATGTTGAGTCACTATGGTGAACCAATTTTGACAGGAAGAGGCACGAGGGGATTGTCTAGGGTTGATAAAAATGATCTGTATCTTGAGTATGGTGGTAGTTACACAACTATATCAATTAATCAACACCAACTTATTTGATGACTTTGTGCATTTCACTGTATGTAAATTTTGCCTCAATAAAAATTTTATTTTATTCATTTATTTTTTGAGAGAGACAGCGTGAGTGGGGGAGGGGCAGAGGAAGAGAAAGAATCTTAAGTAGGCTCCACACCCAACGCAGAGCCCAGCATAGGACTCCGCCTCCTCGAGATTATGATGTGAGCTGAAATGATGTGAGCTGAAATCAAGTGTAGGACGCTTACCCAATTAAGCCACCCAGGTGTCCCCAAAATATTGTTTTATAAGGTGATCACTTGGATGCGTGACCTGAGTAGAAAGGATGAGCCTGGTGGTGTGCTTTTCATTTTAAACCCTTCAATACTGCTTAAAATTTGTAAAAGCAGGTGTATGGATTACTTTACATTCTTTAAGTTTGGGGAAAGAAAACGCATTCAAATTTGAAGTTTCTTACTATCGTTACTTCATAGAAGACAGAAGATGAGAAGAAATCTCCTGTTTGGGAGGGTATAATTTACACTCTCCCAACCCCTACACCCACCTCCACACTCTCACGCCCACACCCCAGCCAGAGCACCGGTCAGGAAGACCCCCAGGAGGTCTGGGGGCAGGGTCTCAAGTCAAAAGACTTGCTCTTGAAAGCCACTACAGAAACGAAGTTGTAATCATTCACTCCCTATTGAGAGGCTACTGTACCAAACACGCAATCTCTAAAAAATGAAAGTCAAAATCTCAAAAGCTTCCCTTTTTTTCAAATGCTAAAGCTTATTTGCATATCAAAATTGCCTCAGGAAAGTAAGCAGAATTAGAAAATTAAGGAATTACATTAGAAGGGACAGAAAGAAGTAGGACAAATGTGTAGGAGTACAGAGCTGCTCCCCTCTGTCACCAAAAAGCTGGTTTCAAGTTTAAATCAACCACCCAGCAATGTTCATAAATAAAGAGCAAGACTTTAAATATCACAGCTGTTGAATTTTGATAATACTATTAGCACAAATGTATTTCTTCACTCAATGACAAACAAATCTTTTTCATTAAAAAATACACATCTGTACAGCATCACTCCCTCTAGTGGATCTAAAAAAAAAACCCATATTTATAGCGATTTCATCTTTTCTGGAACAATAGTAAAAGAAATTTCCATAACAATCAATCTGATCAGTGGTTCTCTGAATGGTCACTACAGTGAATTAATTTTGCTTTCTTCCATAGTATACTTTTTTCCATTCCCTGTCCTCTAAGGAAAAGGTACTTAACATTTATCTGAATAATTAACTACTCATAAATCAGAAAACGATGGGCACTTCAAATATTACTCACAAGGATAAAAATGTGAAAACTACTGAAGGTTGTATTATACTCAACATAAATCATAAATATTCAGAGAATTTTACAGGCACCTTCGAGTAAAGCGCAAACTCCAAGAGCCATTTCAACAGCCCATTTGCCCGTGTGTCACTGCAAAGTGCTCAAAATTGGGTTAGTCATCATTTTGTCCTAAGAAATAACTCAAGTTTCATATCTACTTATTTCTATAAGGCAAAATTTCAAATTTAATCTAATCAGTCATTAGACCCACAAATCTCAAATGCAGCTTAGTTTTTTGTGAGCATTTTGTCATGCCATGCCTACATTTTGCATCTGGGGACGCCCACATAACATATAGGGACAAAATGACATGTTTTAGTTGGCATGACTTCTGTTTCTAGACATCTGAGTTCTGCAACTCAATTAGTTGCAGATGCCACTGCCAGGAACGGGTTCCTTAAAGAGAGCAAAGATAACGACATTCAGTTGAGCTGATCTCTATAGCCTAACCCAAGTGAAATTTTAATAACTAGACAGCAAGCCCTGTGCTGAGATGATGTGGGACCAGTTTTACTATTGCAAATAACCAAATGGGGTTTCATGTATCTTTTCAAAATGAAGAATTTGAAATGGCAACACATCTTAGAAGCATGGGCTCTTACAGTTGTGAATGTAGGTAAAATATTGATGACAAGGTTTCCTATGTCTAAGAAATAACATTTAATGGCAGGCAAAGGCTACGTTTCCCACCAAAATGGAATGCCACTGCCATCAACAGCCCCACAGAGGCTCAGCTACCTAAAATGGAAATGAAAATATAATGTATGGAAATATTCTCTTAGAAAACTCCTTAAGGCTTCACATGTATTAATGTATTAGTTTGCAAACATTAAGATCAAAGCCAAAGCAACAAATACATCCTAAAAAGTTTTTCGTCAGATTTTTATTAACGATATACAAGTAGCAGGACATAAAAAATTAATAGGCTCAAGCCTTGAAATGTCAAACCCAATGATCTCCAGCCATGCTCACCTCCTTTGCCTTTTGTTTCAGTGTTGATGGCTCTGGGTCTTCTTGCCTGGAGCGACTCTACATGGTTAAAAAAGGAGAAAGAAAAGGTTAACAGATGGTTTAAGAGTCCCTCATCTGTTGCAGCAAGTTAAAAAATAGCAGAGGAAGGAGAAAAGGAGCCAAGGTGTCAAAAACACAAGGCCTAAATTCATAGACGTGTAATTTCAAGCCTTTAGGCTTACCCAATAAGCTGTTAAATATTCAGTTTTAAACAAAATCTACTGTAGGTTTAAAAAAATCCACCTACTTTACTTATAATATTGCTAACTCTTAAGTTTAAAAATAAGTTTCTATGGGGCACCTGGGTGGCGCAGTCGGTTAAGCGTCTGACTTCAGCCAGGTCACGATCTCGCGGTCTGTGAGTTCGAGCCCCGCGTCAGGCTCTGGGCTGATGGCTCAGAGCCTGGAGCCTGTTTCTGATTCTGTGTCTCCCTCTCTCTCTGCTCCTCTCCCGTTCATGCTCTGTCTCTCTCTGTCCCAAAAATAAATAAACGTTGAAAAAAAAAATTTTTTTTTAAATAAAAAAAATAAGTTTCTATTCTTTTTTTAAGTATTCAGGATGCCATACACTGAGTGCCCCCACACTCCTCAGGCCCTCTGTATGATTCCATGCCCCCAAATCTTTTCTTTCCAGGAGGCCAAGTCATCTCCCAGAGAAGCAGCCACTATAAAGCAGAGAAAGAAATGTGCATGATGCACATTTCCCACTTCCTGGATCCCCAAATATCCTGCAGTGCCAAGCTTTCAGTCCCCAAATCTCTTGGACAATGAAATCAATCCTTAATCGCTAACAGATCTTTACACAACTATGACAGAAATACGCCAGCAACACGCGGTAGGATTCCCTCCCTCTGTGTTGTTTTGCATGGGTCGATGTACTTAGGACCTAAAGAGCGCCGTGAAGAAGAAAAAAATTAAAAATATTTGACTTGAAAATACAAGAAATAACAAATACTGGCAAGGATGTGGAGAAAAGGGAACCCTGGTGCACTGGTGGTGAGAATGTAAATTGGTGCAGCCATGATGGAAAACAGTAGGGAGGTTCCTCAAAAACTCAAAAATAGAACTACTGTATAATCCAGTAATTCCACTTCTGGGTATTTATCCCAAGAAAATGAAAACACTAACTCGAAAAGACATCTGCACCCCATGTTCAACGCAGCACTATTTATAATAGCCAAGATGTGGAAACAACCCAAATGTCCATCAGTGGATGAATGGATAAAAGATGTGGTATATCTATATACAATGGAATGTTATTCAGCCATTAAAAATAATGAAATCTTGCCATTTGGGACACATGAATGGACCTTGAAGGCAGTATGCTAAGTGAAATAAGTCAGACAGAAAAGCAAATATATGATCTCTGATCTCACTTATATGTGGAATGTAAAAAAAAACAAACAAAACAAAACAAAACAAAAAACCTCATAGATATAGAGAACAGATTGGTGGTTGCCAGAGACAGGAAGTGTGGGGGGAGGAAACTGGATGAAGGGGGTCAAAAGAACAAATTTCTAGTCATAAAATAAATAAGTCACGGGGATGTAATGTACCGCACAGTGACTATAGTTATAGTTAATACTGCATTGCATATTTGAACTTGTTCAAAGTTCTTCTTAAAAGTTCTCATCACAAGGAAAACAATTCTATAGCTATGTAAGGTGACAAACGTTAATCAGATTTATTGTGGTGACCATTTCACAATATATACAAATATCAAATCATTATGTCGTACACCTGAAACTAATATAATGTTGACATCAATTATACCTTAATAAAAAAATTTTTTTAATCACCAAAGAAATATTTGACTTGATATTTCAAAAGAAAAAACTTGCCTGTTCTAATCTGTATTTATTAGCAACACATTTTAGACAGACAGAATGAAGAATAACTATGCTAAAGCCCAAACACACTCACTTAAACAGAGAACAATGACAGGGACCACCATCAGAGGAACCTGAATGTGGACCCTGACATCAACGTGAAGTTCTGACGGGAGGGAAGAAACCTCACCATTTGCAGAAGAAGGAGCCACTGGCACCCAACTAACAGGGGCTCTCCTTCTCTCCAGAGAGGAGCCCTGACCTTCCCCATGACTGCCATGAGCACCTGCCCCCAGTCCTGTCTGCAGTGGCTGGACCCTCCCCACCAAACACAGCTTCTGATGTAGCAATGGCCCACACTCACTAGCTTTTCCTTCATTAGACCATCTGCACCAGATTCTCTCCGTTATGGCAAGATCTGCCCAAAGAGATCTGCATCTTGTCTTCCCCTGTCTTCTTGCCATCCCCCCAAGCCTCCTTGCTTTGCCTCATGAACCAGGTGGGAAGACGAATAAACTGAAAAGAGAGGAGTAAGGAGGAGAAATAAGAAATGAGGTCATCATCTGAACTTGAGGAAGGGAAAGAATGTTAAAGATTGGGGGAGGGAAAAGAAGGCATAAAATAGAGGTCTTGGAAAGTGGCAGCGTGACCCAGCTGGGGAAGTGGATTCAGCTGCTGAGCTGTGCTAAGGGCTCCCTTGACGTTGTGGTCATATAATTAAAGTAGGGCCAAGTTAGTGTGGGGTTGGGGGAGGAGGAAGGACAATGAATTGGGAGGATTCTAAGGACAGTATAGTTATGGACCACACACACAGCTCTATTTCTAGTTACCTAAAAAGGGATTTAAATTAAATGAGAAGAGAGACTGTCTCCAGGAAGTGGAATTATGGGTAGCCTTTGCTAACCTCTTTATATGTCTCAGGATTTTCTCAAGATTTTGCAAAGAGTATATATTTCCTTTTATAAACAGACAAAAACAATAAAGCTATCTCAAAAACAAATAAAAAAATCTAAAATCCAGCAAAATGAGGTTTTGTTAGGAAAGAAAGCAACTAACCCAGTTTCCTGTAGGAAAAAAAAAAAAACAACACTGCCCTAAATTTGGATGCTTCCTTGACTATTAATTTGGATATTTAATGATAACCCTGTACACAGGAAAAATACTAATGAATCACTTGGGGAAAATGAAGAAAGGCACAGTACTAGAAAAACACATCTGCAAAGCTACTGAAAACACAACAAAATGTCAACAGGGCCTGTGTGTCCTCTTTGGAGATTTCCAGGTGAAACGGTTAGAGATCATTTTCCAGCCGTCCCTGGAAGGTGGTGTCAAGAGGGAGAGTTCCCTGCCGGGTCAGTCTATGAAGTAATACAGGGAACAAGGAGGACAAGCTTAGGAAAGGGTGGTGACGCCAGGATACCGTCTGTTTCCTGTTGTGTGTGCGGCCTACTCAGCTCTATGAAGGCTCGGACAGAGTGACCCCAGAGCCCCTTCCCTGCCACACGGCAGGCTAGGCACAGGGGTCTGATCTGAGAGGGAATGTGCTGCCTCTGTCTTTCTGGGCCCTAGGCCAGCGGAGGGTGAGAGTCCTGCTTGCTCCGGGGCAGCCACTCCAGCTGGTAGCTGGTGCCCTCAAAAGGCTCTCTCTGTCTGCTGCAGTTGATTCATCTAGAAATCAAATCTTCCTAAAGCATCTGTGTTGTTGAGGATCAACGTCTACAGACTTGATCAAGTACGTCAAGAAGGACCGCCCTTTGGGCTTTGCTAGAAGGAAACGCCTGACAAGCATACACAGATATGCCACACTTGAGTTTGTCCCCACGAAATCTCCACTTTCGGTTCTTGTTGGAAGACACGGGAAAGATAGTTGACTGCAAGACCCTTCGCCTCCTCCCACTTTAAATTTTAGGGATGATAAATTACCATGAAATTAATTTGGTTTGACTATTACACTTTTACTGTGAGGCCTGGGCCAAGGACATTTTTATGTTAAAGTCTTTGTAGATGTAACATTTTGTATGCCTGAAATACATCTGTGTATATTGGGAAAACCTATTAATATTTTGTAAAATGACATGTCTGGTATAGCATTTGACTTTTTTTCTGGAGGAAAGGAACATAATTCTACAAAACAGTAGAAACTCTGAGTGGACTGCACAGGCATGACAGGCTAATCCCAATGGGTCGAGGTGCTCGTGAATGTGAAGCTATCGTTTGAAAAGATCATTTCCGATATAACTGACAATTGGAGGGGAGGGTCTTAGGACTCTCCATTAAAAAAACATGTTTCTGGGTACTTTGCTTTTTACTCAGGAAAAAAAAAAAATTAACTCCAAAAGCCACCCCAGCTGGCATGAAGACTGTAAACCAGGGTTTCTCGCTGGGATTTTGTAATAATCAGGTTCAGCGCATTCCAGAATGGCGTTTGTTTCAGACGCTTGGCAACTGAATGGGGTTGCTAAAAGTGAGGAGGGAGTCTGCTTTGCCTGACCTCATTTAAGAACAAGAATACACATTCCTTTAGAGTTTGAAACCCTGCGTGTTCACGCTTTCATCTTTCAAACACCCACCTTCCCAGGGCACCCTCGGCTTTCATCAGTGCTTTTCTCATAGTTATGCCTCTTTATAGTTTTATAATTTTTTTGAAGGTAATACTGAAGGAGTTTAAGGCATTAGTATCCATTTTTCATTAAATAAAGTGGCAAAACTCCCGATGCTGTGCTATAGAGTCACCATCAGGCCAACAGTTTCAATTTTAAACCCATTTCCCCCATTCTGATGACATTAGAACTTCACCCATGGCACTATTACCTTATAACTTTCATTTTTAATTAAAGAAGTTAAATTGGCAACAGAAAACACTTCGCTTCCACATTAGCTTTGTTAATAAAAAGTGCAAGTTAAAAGTACCTGTGGATAAAATCTAGTTCCAACCTCCAGTTTCTCCTTTATCTCATGAAGTCGGCAAGTGAAAATAAAAGAAGCAGGGAAGATGAAAATATTTTTATTTATTTTTTTTTAATTTTTTTTTTCAACGTTTATTTATTTTTGGGACAGAGAGAGACAGAGCATGAACGGGGGAGGGGCAGAGAGAGGGAGACACAGAATCGGAAACAGGCTCCAGGCTCTGAGCCATCAGCCCAGAGCCCGACGCGGGGCTCGAACTCCCGGACCGCGAGATCGTGACCT